TTTTCATCGTGTCTTCTGACTGCTAGTTGGTGTTCATGGATGCGCTCTGCAAGCCTTCTGCCTGTCTATCCTACATAGTGGCTGTTACAATCCTTATATTATATGTTGTAGATGACTCCTGCTTTTTCTTCTTAGGGTACTGGGTCTTTTGGTTTACTTAAAATGTTTTGAAGGGCTTTAGTTGGTTTGTGTGCTACAGTGATGCCATATGATTGTAATAGTCTGTTGGTTGTTTCTGAGAGGTTTCTGATGTATGGCAGTGTGATCCTTTTCATAGCTTGTGTTGGTTGGGCTGTAGTCAGTTGACTGGTCGGGCCCTTTTTGATAAAGTTGTGTGGGTATCCATTTTGTTGGAAGAGGTTGTATAGGCAGTCTCTTTCCTTTTTCTGATGTTCTGGGCTGCTGCAGTGCGTTTGTGCTCCTTTGAACAATGTTCTTACACAGCTCCTCTTGTGGGAGGTCGGGTTGTAACTTTGGTAATGGAGTACTTGGTTAGTGTGAGTTGTCTTCTGACAGACTTGGGTTTCTAATTTGCTGTTGTTTCCTCTGCTGATCAGGATATGCAGGAAGGGCAGTGTGTTGTATTTTTCTTCTTCCTTGTGAATGTTATTCCTTGAAAATGTTGTTGATGGTTTCATGTGTCTTCTCTAGTTGTTCCTTTTTTATCATGACATTTCTTTCTCCTCCAGTAATTGTTTTTTTGTATGTATTGTGTTCTGTCCATGATAACTGTGGTTCAGCCTTTGTTTGCTGGGAGGATGGTGATGGTTTGGTCCTTCTTTAGGTTTTGAGGGCTGCTCTGTCCTCTGCTTTGAGTTGATTCTGATTCTGTCTTCTTCTGGTCTGTGGTGTGATGGTCTGCCTTATGTTTTCATGGGTCTCCTGTGGTTTTAAATGCTGCTTCTAAGGCTGCACAGAATTCTAGCTGATTAGCATCATCCATGTTAGAATTGAGGCCTTTCTGGGGGATTTTGTGTTCTGCAGTGGATGGCGGGTGGCTGGACATGTTGACTACCCATTCGGGTTCAAGTACCTCTTTGCTTCTGGGATTTAGCTTTTATAGTTTGGTTTGGAGTTTTGTTTCCCTTTTTTCAGCTTGTTTTAGAGATGCAGTCTTGATGGTGGTTGTCAGCCCTTTTGAGTGTTCTGGGGTCATGGTTTGTTCCAGCTGCTCCTTGCATTTATCTATGGTATGCTGGTATTTTTTTAGTTTGAGGGGAGCCTCCATGATCATTAGCCATATCATTTTTTGGCCGCCTTGTTATTTTCCATCCAGCTGTGCAGTTTATTGGAGCTCTGTATCTGACACTGGTGGGCAGGGCATGCTGTCGTAGGCATTCGTGCAGAAAGAATAGTTGTTCCTTGGTGGAGATTGGTCTACATGCAAATTTCTCCCATTTGTGGGCTTTCTGAAGCGTTTGATGCCCATATGTGATCCAGTAGAAGAGAAGATCTGTAGCTCAGGGTTGAACCGTAGAGTCCTTGGTGCTCTCCGAGCTTGGTGGTTTGCTTGCAGACGTTTCATTACCCAACTAGGTAAGATCATCATCAGAAGGTAAATTGCTGTCCAAATGTGAATTACTATTATTTCAAAAGACCTTAGAAATACAATATATATTTTTCTAGAAGAAAATGTAGGTGAGAACAGAGTTTTTGCAGCTCCAAGAGTTGTATAGAAAAGGACATTTATCTTGCTATGATACTGAAGACTTTGCATCAGCCCATTCTGATTTAAGCCCAGCCTTTCCTATCCTGGTTGCTTTCAGTTGTACTGGACTTCCATTCCATAATACCTAGCCAACATGGGCAGACGTGTTGGGCTTCAAGTCCTGTAATTCCGAAACACATAGGAAGAGCACCAGGTTTGGAAAGATATAAAGGCTATGTTTAGACAATATGGTACATGCATTAACTATGGTTTGTTAAATAAACCACAATTGACTGTTTTGCAAAAGATGCCAAATCATAAATCTCACTTTACCAACCATTCCAGCTGAGTCAATACCATGCCCAAATTTCATAAACAATTAAGGACAGGGGACATCCCATTTTCCCATTTTTCTTAGGATCACAAATAATGGGTACTATGTAAGTTGCAGCTAACAAGATTTCATTTAAATATAAGGGAAAAACTTCCTGACAGTAAGATTTGTACAACAGTGGAACGGTCCACATATGGAGATTGCGGACTTTCCATCTTCAGAAGGTTATAAGAAAATGCTTGACAATTAGCTCTCATGAATGGTGTTTGTATTTTTCCTGCACATTGAAAAGGTTGTATGATCTTTGTATGTAGCATCCAACTCTACTATTCTATAGTTCTGTAATTCTTAGATTGTAATTTCCATCACTTTTCAGTCCTACTGGTTACAAGAGATGTGAACTGCAATTCAACAGGATTTGCCAGCCAACCCAATTTTTAAAACCTGCATTCCTAAATGAGTGGTTCCCAGCCTAAAGAATGTCCAGATGTGTAGACCTCAACTCTCAGAATTCTTCTTTGTTGACTGGGGGATTCTGGAAATCCCACACATCTGGAAGATGCCCAAATTACCTAGCATTGAGTTGTAAGTACTACTAGTAAAATTTATTTACAATCGCTGACCAGTCAGATGTGGCATACTCAAAAACACTGGAAATTAAAATGAGAGTAAAATCAGAAATAACAATAGCTGAATCCCTTGGGGCAGGGTGCCACCTATGAAATATTTGTCCAGGCGGACTGGAGAAGATGGAGCTCGCGTTGCAACACGTTTGAGGCGGGCACCCGGTTGGGGAAGGCTGAGGTAGGCTGCTCCTCCAGCGACTGCGCGGCGGCCGCAGCAGGAACGCGGAGGAGGCAAAGGAACTACATTTCCCAGGATGCTCTCTGTTTGTGCGCCGACTCCGTGCGCCTGAAGCCTCCCGACGCAGCAAGCGAGGAGGTTCCGAGGTTGCATGGCTTTAGTGGGGCTGCAGCTGTGGGCTGCCGCCCGCTCCTCCGTCTCCAGCCTTCCGTGGTCGCGGTTGACGGTCAGGAACTATGCGGCCAAAAGACCGGGTAAGCCAGGCCGGAAGGGAGCGCCTTGGGCGTCCTCATGGTCGGATGGGGGGCGTCTGAGAAGAGCCTTGCACCCCCCCGGCAGACAGAGACCCCTTCAGCCCACCGTCTTGCTTCTCCCATGGCCCCCAGGTGTTCCCGGAAGCCCTCCTCTGCCTCTGCTTATTTTTGGTAGACTGCTCCTCTGCATGGAGGCTCCATTTTCGCTCTCACCCCAGACTTCCATAAGGAGAGCTCCGCTGGACGAGGTTCACAGCGACCTACTCGTGCTCCCCGTTGCCCACAGCGGGCCATTGCTATACTCCCAGCCAGGGGAATTCTGGGAGTTGAAACCCACATCTCTTAAAGTTGCCAAGTTTGAGCGATACCGCTGTACCCCTTTCTTGCAGCAGAGTTTAGAGCAGGGTTCCTCACCCTTGGCGACTTGAAGAGGTGTGGACTTCAACTCCCAGAATTCCCCTGGCTGGGAGTATAGCAATGGCCCGCTGTGGGCAACGGGGAGCACGAGTAGGTCGCTGTGAACCTCGTCCAGCGGAGCTCTCCTTATGGAAGTCTGGGGTGAGAGCGAAAA